GGGGGGGGGTGAGGTTCGGCGATCCTGAGTGAGGCTGGATGGGAGGGGGGTGAGATGGGAGTAACCTCAAGGTAAAGGGTGAGTAACCGATGAGTTCCCTCTCCCCCAGGGCACGAATCGCCCTCAGTGTAAAGTGTCCGTTTTGTGCGGCCTCGGGGTGGGGGGAGTGTGAGTAACCCAGGAGTGAAGTGTCACCTCGGCATCAAGTGGGAGTAACTCTGGAGTAACACCTGATTAGCCCAAGGATGGGGACTGGGTAACCCTGGAGGCTGAGTGCTCTTGGAGTAAGGGATGAGTAACTTCAGAGCAAGGATTGACCTCAGAGTAACAACTGTGTGGCCACTGGGTACGTAGGAACCTTGGAGTAAAGGATAAGCAACTCTTGAGTAAAGACTACTCCCCTCCCACCAGTGCACTGGGTAACTTTTGCAATCTCAGTGTAAGTTGTGACCTCTAGTAGCATCTGAGTAACTTCAACATAACAAACCTCAAGTAACTTCAAGATACCGGACAACAGCAAGGGCTGAGTAACCTTGGAGTAAGAGCTGTGAGGCCCAGAAGATAGTTGAGAAGTGCAAAGGGTGAGTAACACCACAGCAAGCAGTGAAGGAGGTGTATCCAGTGGGTATCCTCAGAGAAAAGGCTTGGAAGGACAGGGGGAGCAGGAAACACCAGAGCTGAGACTGAGTAACATATGAGGAAAGATGTGACACGGGTCAACTCAGCAACCTCTGAGTAGCACAAGGAGGGGCTAAGGAAGCGACCGGAGGGCGGGGGAAGCTCGTAAGCAGAAGAGGGGCTTCGTATCATCTGAGTAAAGGTTGAGTAGCAAAGAAGGCGCTGCCATGTAACCCCAAACCCACTGGGGGGTAAACAGGGCTGGCCCACTAAGGCCTTAGTAACTTCTGAGTAAGCATTAAGTGTTGAGTAAGGCCTAAGTCCCTTCTGAGGACCCACCACACAAGCCCAGTTACAAGTGTGGAGCAAGTCAGCGTCAAGATGCATTTAAGTAACCTGCTAGTAAGGGCTGAGCAACCTCTGAGTAAGGTGAGGCAGGCCAAGACTTGTGTAATGCCGGAGTGCAGCTTTGAGGGTGAGAGAACCTGGGGTTCAAGCAATAAATAGGGAGAGCTGAGTAGCAGGAGGCGGTAAGGGCTGAGTAACTTCTGAGTAAGGGCTGAGTCACTGTGGCGAGGAGCTGGGCAGCAATAGAGGAGCGCGCGCGTAACTTCCACGGAAGCACTGAGGAGGCCAAAGGGTTGGTAACACCAGAGTAAGTGTGGGGCAAAGGCAAAGGAGAATGAACCATATGGAGTAACCCTGGAGTAAGGTGCGAGTAGCAATAAAGTATCAAACAACACAAAAGGATGATCTGAGCAAACCCAGAGTAAGGGCCCATATGAGTAACCCTGGAGTAAGTTCTGTCTAGAAGTACTGAGTAACCTCAGACTGAGTAAACTCAAAGTAAGGACACCCAGAAGGAACCCTGGAGTAAGTTCTGAATAGGGGCAACGTGTCAAGTGACTTCAGACTAAGAGCTGAGGAAGCTCAGAGTAAAGACCACCCCCCTCAATCATGAGTAACGCTGGAGTAAAATCTGGGCAGGAGTAAAGTACCAACCAACCTCAACATAAGGGCCAAGAAGGCTCAGAGTAATGATCTCCACGAGCAACCCAGGGGAGGGAGGGGAGCCCCAGCTGAGTAACATCTGAGTAATCAAGAGTAGAAAGTGAGTAACACCACAGCAGTGAGCAAGGAGAGGCTGAGGAGTCGTGAAGTAAGGCTGGAGTAGGGCAGATATGGCCGCAGAGCTGGGCCTGAGCTGCCTTGGAGTAAAGTCAGAGTTGGGCCTGAGTAACCCTGGGGTAACCCTGGAGTGAAGTGGGACCAACCTCAGAGGAAGCCCCCCCACCCTGGGGAACCTCCTGGGAGACGCCGAGGCCCCAAATAACAACAGGGTAACCCTGGAGTTGAGTGTAAGTAACCTCAGAGTAAGCACAGAAGGGCACCGTGACTCACCCTCCCCGCCCCCCGCCCCAAAACTGCTCCCAGGGTGGCCCTGCCCCTGCCAGGCCCCGCCCTGCTGTGCCCCACCCCCTCTGAGCCCCGCCCCTTGGGGGGAGGGACCCATATAGACTCTTATTTATAATATTGCCTTGAAAAAATAAAACTCGAAGTAAATTGGGGGGAAGAAACCCCAGTCTCAAGGGAACTCCCCAAAAAAATAGGGGGGACCCCAAACCCCCCTCCAATGGGGGGGTCCCACGTGACGCCCCCCAAATCCAGCAGCGGTTCCTCAGGGGGTCTTTTGGGGGGCCGTGGTTACCGGTCCAGGGGGCCCTCCTGTAGTTCTGGGGTGACCCCTTAACTTGGGGGTCACCCCCCAGTTTTGTGGCAACCCCCCCCAGTTTTGGGGGGTCCTGGGGGGTTGCAGCAGCAGTCCAGGGGCTGTGGGGAGAGGAAGCAGTTAAGGGGGGGCCCAAATGGATGAACCCCTAAATTTGCTCCCTCCCCCCTTTTTAGAGGTTTCCCCATTCATGAGAGTTATTCCATTTTGGGGGTCTCTGAGCCCCAGATATCATGGGGGCCCATACAGCAGCAGCTCCACGTTTTGGGGGTGTTCTGACCTTTAAGGGTCCATGTTTGGGGGGTGATCCCTGGTTTTGGGGTAGATCACCCATTTCTGGAAAGTCCCCTTTCCAGGGAACCCTCCTGGGTTTTGGGGGGCTCATTTTTTGGGGTGTTCCCCATAGTTTCGGGATCTACCCCCAATGCTACTGCTCCTCAACTTTGGGAAGAGTCAATCAGGCAGTCCCATGGGAGGGGTCCCCCATTTTGGGCAGGTCACCCGATTTTGGGGGGCCCTACCTGCTCAGCATCAGAATTCAGTGTCGAGCACCCGGAAGGCGGAAGAACCTACGGAGGAAATGAGGGGGGCAGGGTGTGGGTTTGGGGAGGTCGCAGTTTCGGGGGGGGTCACAGTTTCGGGTGCTGACCTGGGGGGGGCAGGGGGGCCGCGCGCAGCCCCGGCTCCTTCTGCAGCTGGATCTCCTTCAGCGCGAAGATGGAGGTGGCTGA